CTACAAATAAATTATCCTAGAGAAGGAAGGATCAGGCTCTAAGAGGGAAGAGGGGATTCAGATTCCAGTGAAGGGCAGAGAATTTGGTGCAGGCACCTGCCTTCCCCGTTCCCTCCCATCTCTCCCTCTCGAACCCTCACGTACTATCTTTGTGTTCCTCTTAAGGTCCCTGCCTCATTTCCAAGATGACTCCAGCAGAGTCCCCTGGAAGCAGATGGCTCTGAGGGAAATACATCCTATGAACAAATACAAGACAAGACACTCATTCTCGCTGCTAATCAGGAAATGGGAATGTGAGAGGACTTGGGATGCCTGTTCTGATAGGGTCGAAACATTTTCTAAATGGGTATATCTATGTTCCATTCAAAATATTAATGCAGCCTAGAACTTTCTGGGTATATCTGTTTACATAAATGACCCAGATGTCATATTTTTAAATAGTGAAATAATGGTAACACATCAATAAAATATCTGTATTCTGCATGTAAAAATACCACCATGTCAAGAATACTGAAAACTGGCATGGCCACCGGATGCAGCTCAGGTGGGCAGAGCTGGCATGTGGGGTGAGCATCCTCCCCAAAGAGGCAGCTCCAGGTATGTAAGGATGAGCTCTCCAAGGTAAGGTCAGGCAGGGACAAGAGGCGAGGCCTGGCAGTATGGACAGAGGGATGCTCAGATTTATGGAGAAAGACATGATGACATCAAAAAAGATGCAGCAGGTATAGCCCAAGAGAGAGGAGGAGATGCAGGATGGGCAGTTCTAGGAAGGGGAATGACTTCAGAAAGGACCACAGGAGAAAAGCAAAAACAGGAACCTCTGGGTTTGACATTCAAAGGGAAGTGATTGGTATTTAATCACTGCCTCTCTCTAATCAATACTATAGACCAGACACTTCGCATATATTAGCTCAGTTACTCTTCACAACCAGACATTATGGTGCCTACTTTAAAAATGAAGAAACTGAACAGCAAAGACACTAAGTGTTTGGGAGCTCATCTGAGGCCTGAAGAAAGCAGTTTGGGGCAGCTGACATTGTCTGTAAGAAAAGACTAAAAGCAGGCAGCCTCCCACATCCACCCCATGAAAACACAACTCGAGTGAAAGATGCTGCCTCTGTTGTGATTGCCTCCAAAAGCCTCCAAACACACCATCATGAAGCCAGGCAACGTGTACCATGTGCCACACCCCTCCACTGTGAGTAAATCCTCTCTCTGATGATTTGGGAACAATGGATAGAAAAAAGGCCCAACTGGCAGTGGTGTCTATGTGTGGCCGGCTGTTCCATGGCATTTCAAGTCCTCAAAGTACACTAAGCATCTTCCATGACTGTGGGAAAGAATAAGGCTGGCCCCGCGCTCATATGGCCACAGCTCTGACAGGGCCCTGGAAACCCTCCGAGAAGTTCTGCTTCATCAGAAGCCACTTGGGCCATTTACAGCTTCCTGCTTCCACTTCCGAGCGAGCTCCAATCCCTAGCCTTTGCATACTGCAGACGCCCCACCAAATGAACCAAAGTCATCTCACCGGGAAGGGTCATCCAGAGTTCCTGGATGGAACTTGTGTGGGCTACAATGTCCCAGGAAAGTGCAGCCATGCTGAAGGCATGTTAGAGGAGGTGGCATCCCCAGGGCCTCCTCACTGGTGCATACCTCTGGCTCCCAGTGACTTAAGACCAGGAACCCAGCCAGGACTGGTGATGAAATCACCTAGGACAGCCTCACAGTTACCACCAATGCCTTCAAGTGCTGCCACCACCCAAGGATTCAGTCCTGGGGACTCAGCCAGCCCCAATCCCCTCCTCTCTACCCCAGTTCTTCTGCAGTGAGTCACCAACACATCTCAGACGTGCACTCACACCTGGTCCACCCAGTGTAAGAAGCATCATGGCGCACACTCCACACCTGCAGTTTCTGCCCTGTGCTCCTGGAGTTCTCAGGTGGGAGGGCGCCTTGGGGTGTGGGGTGAAGGGAGACGGAGAACTTTGGCCCCATCAGCACCACTTTTGCCTCGATCATATATAAGGGTTCAGTATAACATTTTGATCAAAAGAAAAGAAAAAGAGGGCCTTATTGCTTTAAAAAGTTTGAAAAGCACTATTTAAGACAAACAGGCAAATCAGTACAGAACTTGACACAGAACAACTGTGCCTGTTTCTTTAGAAATACTTGATTCTTCTTTAGCAGTAACGTGCCCTCCAGTGCTTCACAGCATCGACTGCCTCAATGTCAGTCAGCACTAGAAACTCTTCACAAACCTCTCCCAGGCAAGCATGGGTCAGCACCAACAGACCTAATTCCCCACTTCCTCTACCATGCATATGGGGGCAGCCACCAAGGCCTTTGTCCTGTCACTCACTCCAGCTTGGGCCCCTTCTTCAAAAAGTGCTCCTTCAGAGTCCCCATGTGCTAAGCTGCCCACGTGCCCTTGGACACAGCCCAGGCCCACTTCTCTGACAAACCTTTCGGCTCTAAAAGAGATAGACAGGCAGGGGATCAGTTAGGGCAGAAGGGGACATCAACACAGCAACACAGGGCCACACTCAACCCTGGTTATCAACAAGCGTCCAGTGGCTGAAGCCTGGCCGTCCCCACACTCTTTGGTTATGAGCTTTTTACTCCCAAACTTTTTCTTTGGAGAATCTTCAAAGCTACAAAAAAGTTGAAAGAATAGTTCAACTACATAACCGAAGTACCATTATCACAAGTAAGAAAAATACTATTTATTCAATGACATCTAATACATGATTCCTATTTAAAATTGTATGATAACCCTAATTATCTTTTTTGGACTTTATTTTGACCCACGATCTAATCAAGGTTCACTCATTATATTTGATGTTGTCTCTTTAGTCTCTTTCATCTCCAACAGATCATCTTTTTTTTTTTTAAATAAAATTGAATTTATTAAGGGATTCTGGCAAATTGTTTGATAGGTAGTTCTGCTTTTTGCATTTTTCTGCTTCCTTATCACAATATTTAGTTAAACAATTATGGCATGACTATTACATAGGTGAACTGTGTACTCCTTAATCACAACACTTCGAAGTGTATCACTTGGTTGAAGAACTAACTGTCAAATTGTGACACTGTCCCTTTAAAATCAGTAAGCAATCTGAGGTATTACTTTAAAACTTTGTGAATATATTGTTCCACAATAATCACTCACCAATTAGTTTTTGCCTCCATTGAAGACCCAACCTAAAGGTTACAAAATAAGAGATTTTCTAAATTCATCAGCTGATGTGCTATAAAGAAGAGGTCCCTTCTTCTCCTCTTCTCTCTCTCTTTTTCTATCACTCTCCCCTTCCTTGATTATTACTATATACTCATGAGAGGTTTTTTGTTTTTTTTTTTTTAATTCTAATGTATCATAAGCCATTACTGTCATTACTCTCTTTGATGATCAAATTGTTCCATTTTTGCCAGTGAGAGCCCTTTCACACCGGCTTCTGGGTCCTTTGATGTGACCCCATTCGCCTTTGAGTGCTACCTTGTTTTCTAGCACAGATATCCCAGGTTTCACCTGTATTCTCTCTGCTCCAACCTGGAACCAGCCAGTTTGCTGGATCCTTTGAGTGGGGCTCATCCTCTCTCCTTCAGCAGATAAGCAACTTCACATTCTCACACCTTGCTCTAGTCATAACTGCATTTTCCTTCTTCCTTACCTCCTTTCCCTGCCATTCATCATTTGCATGAGCATCGATAGCTCTTTGTCCTTGGTAGAAAGTGAGGAGAAGGGTATAAGAGAAGGGTAAGAGAGACAAAGACTCAGAGTAAGCATGAGAAATCATTAACCATTTACCAGTCAATGAAAAGCTTTCTTTTTTATAGATGACCACGTGATTGGTTAATTCCAAAGCAAGGCTTGTATTTTGAAAAGTCATTGCCTTATGATTCAATGTATGAAATTTATATATTATATCATATCATTATATTGTTTTAGTGCATGTTTATACGAATGCATGTACAAGGAAGAGTACCACCTGCCCCGTCACTCCTGTCCCCTTCTCTTCCTTTAATTGTCTCCATCAGCACGTACTACCTTCTAAACTCTATAAAATGTACTTCATTTTTTAACTCTTATTCTCCTCTCAATAGTATATAAGTTCCTTAAATAACAGGCATTTTTTTGTTGGTTTGCTGTTTGTTCACTACTATACTCGCAATGTCTAGAACAGTGCCTGGAATATAGTAGGTGTCCGTTAATTATTTGTGAATGAGGAAAATGGCTTGCCTAGGACCACAGGACTAGAGGTAAGCAGAAGCTGCTATGTATCCTTTAAGCCTCTGCTTCAATGTCACCCCCCAAGGATTCAGTTATTCCCTTCCCCATGTTCCCAGAGCCCTTCTTACACTTCTGGATCCTAACACTTGAACTATCACAACAATGTGGTTTCCTTATACGTCTGTCTCACTTGAAAAACTTCAAGTTCCTCTAAGGCAAAGACAAGGTCAGACTTATCTTCATGGCCCAGCACTTAGCACAGCAGCTGGCACAAAATGTCTGAACTTCTACCCGCAACCAAGTGCCCTTGCCACATGCCAGAGCTGCCTGCTGGGCTCTTCCTCCCCAGGCAGCCTCTCCGCCAATGAGCTGGGCTCCAGCTCCAACCGCTGAGAAAGGCTCAGGCCCCACCGGAAGCTCACAATGGGCCTTTTGACTCCACGGGACTGGGCTCTTTCAGGAAAAACACATTCCCTACCGCAGCACCTGTCACTAAAGCCGGCGTCCCTGCAGCTTTTAGGCAACACAGAGCCAGTGTTCATCAAGAAACAAGAGCAGGGGCACGAGGCCAGCAGAGCCAGCCGGGCAGAGCGGTCTGACTTCTGGGAAGATAGAAGAAAGGGTGGCAAGGTCGAGAGGGCCTTTCATCAACAGAGTTGCTGACATTCAGACTCTGTGAATAGACTGCACAGAGGACGGGAGGGGGAAGGGGTTAAAATAAAAGAGTACAAAGAGCAGGACTAGTCAGAGCTTTGCCTCAGAGATGGCTTACTTGCTCTTTTCTTTCAACCTTCTTTTCACTTTGCTCAGAAACTGGACTCTCGGGAGGTACGGTGAGCCGTAGTCTGCAGACATTTGCCTAGGAGAGACAGAGAGAAGAGGCCAGTTAGTTATAAAATCACGTTTTGGGGTAGAAAGAGCTGGGTGACCTAGTGCTTCTCAAAGCCAGTTTCCCTACTTAGCAATGTGGATTAATCATACCAGTCACACAGGGGACTCTAAGGGTAAAACCAGTCTTTGCCTGGCCCATCACAGGCACTCACTATCTTGCTAGTCAAAACAAAGAAACTACTGAGTGGTTTCACAGCATTCGAACAATTTTTTTAACAGCTCAGGTTCCATAAAAGTATGTATGGAATGATCTTATTTCCTATGCATACGCCAAAATACAGCCAGAGGGATAGAGGCCAAAATACACACAATGGTGATTGGAGTGCCAGGATACTTTCTACTTGCCTATAAATTTTTACAATGGACATGTACATGTTTAATCACAAGTTTTTTTAAAGTCTCTGCACCCATGTTTACAGCAGCATTATTCGCAGTATCCAGAAAGTGAAAGCCAACACATACATTCATTGATGGGTGAATATACATGGAATGAAATAGTATGCAGTCTTTAAAAGGAAGGAAATTCTGACAATTCTGACACATGGATGAACCCTGAGGACATGCTAAGTGAAATAAGCCAATAATACAAAGACAGATACTATATGATTCCACAGATATGAGATACCTAGAATAGTCAAATTCATAGAGACAGAAAGTAGAATGGTGGTTGCCAGGAGCGGAAGAGACAAAGGAATGAGATGTTATTATTTAATGGGTATGGAGTTTCAGTTTGAGAAGATGAAAAAATTCTGGAGATAGATGATGGTGATGTCACATGATAGCTATTTCACCCTAAAGTCACAGCCTGGCCCTGCTGTGACAGTTCCTAGGGAGAAATGATCCTGCCATTAAAAAAAAAAAAAAAGAAGCCCCAAGAGGGCCCCAGCAGCGCTCAGAGTATCCAGCCCACCACCACGTAGACTCGACTTACAGGAGTGCTACTTGCCCCATTACAGATTGATTTGTGTCCCCCTAAAATTCATGTGTTAGAATCCTAACCACTAGTACCTCGGAATGTGACCTTATTTAGAAACAGTGTTTTTACAGAGGTTATTAAGTTAAAATGATGTCAGAATGATAGATGTCATTATAAAAAGGGTAAATTTGGAGACAAACACACATACTGGAAGGACACCATGTAAACAAGCCAAGGAGAGAGGCCTGGAACAGATGCTTCCCTCGCAACCCTCAGAAGGAACCAACACTACTGACGCCTTGATCTTGGACTTCCAGCTCCAAAACTGTGAGGCAATAAATGTCTGTTCAAGTTTAAGTCGCCTGGTTTGTGGTACTTTTTACAGCAGCCCCAGCAAACAAATACACCCTCCAACCTGGTTTGCAGGGTCACGAGTCTGCACCAATCCACAGGGTGGACCCTGAGCCAAACGACTCTGCAGCTTAGAAGCCCGGGGTGGGATGGGACTGTAAAAGACCACTTAAGGTGAATAAGTGAAGAAAACAAGATGAAATCAGCAGAGCTAAGCTGACAAAATGAAGTCCGTAGAGTCAAGCTGAAAAAACTGCTTTAGACCAAATGGGCTGAAAAATGAGGAGTAGATTTTATCTTACTTTAACTAGCCTGAGGACTTAAAACTTTTGAACTTTTCAGTTGTGCATCAATGCCTAGAGACAGACAGAGATATAAATATAAAGATCCTATAGATAACTTTCTAATTACCCTTTGAAGGGCTTAAGGATATTCATATGTCCAGATCTCCTGACATCCATTATCCAGACAACTGGACATCTAGAGGATTATCATCTCAGACCAATCTAGAGGATAAGAATAGAATACAGTGCTGATTCTTCTCAAGAGTGTACTCCATAAGAACTCTTAACTTTGCTTTCTTCTTCGAAACACTCTGGGTATTACCTAGTTGTGTTTCCAATTTGCAAACCCTAAGACCCTTGAGTAAAATTTGGCCATTTTAAATTTTAGCAAAGCCTCCTGATTCATTTATACTTGATTGACACTGTGAAGGAGCCTCCAACACCTAACAATGTAAATGGCAGATGGGAGCCCAGTCTAGAGGCAACGTTTTCCATGCACAGATGAGAAAGCCCGTTTGGGACACGTATTAGCATTTTCACACACACCATCACCTCCCTCCAAGGCATCCCATTTTGCTATGGCACCTTTAACTTCCTGATGATCAACTTACACCTTCCCCCTAGAATTTCTACCTAACAGACCAGGGAGCCCTCAGGGGCTGCAGCAGAATTTCCTTTTCTCCAGACAGGCCGCCTGTCCTCCCAACCTCTACTCCTCTGGATTAAATAACCCCACTTCTTTCAACCACACAACTTGATTTCAAGATCTCTCTCCATCGTTACATTCCTTTGGGCAAGTTTCATTGCCCAGTGAGTAGAGGGCTATCTGCCTCTTATGTGGCCCGCTTTGCACCAAGCCTTCAAAGCGCACCACCAGTCACGCTGGCCAAACAGAAACCAACCATTCCACGGGTTGCTCTCTTAGCTGACAGGCAACAACACTGATGAGAATCTGAGCCTTTCCAAAGAAAGGCAACCCTCTGACTTCAGGCCACCTGAACTGGTTGAAATCAGCTGGCATCAAAGCATAACTCATACCAGGTAGGCAATTCAAGCCTATTATGCTCAATCATCTTCTCTGATGGGCTGGATCTAATCTGCAGCATAATTCCGCAGAGAAAAGGAGGTGCTTTTCTGCTGCGCCACATCCCATACACACACGTGTGTGCACATACACATGTATACACACATGCACATATGTGCACAGGTGCACATACACACAGGGTCCAACACCTACTAGCTATGTTGACTATGGGCAAGTTATTTAAGCTTTCTGAATATTAAGGGCAAAATATGGATAAAAGGAAGATGTCTTGCACACAGTAAGCCTCCAAAAGTGTTAGGTATTTTTATTATTATCTAGATATTATCATCATCTTACAAACTCCAAAATAAAACAGGCCTACTTGATTTCACAGTTCTGCTTTCTACAGAAATAACAATTTGGTCAATGGATCTAGTGGGCACTAGCACAGTCAGCGATATCTCTTTGTAGGTGGATTGCCCTAGAGAGGTAATCCCTAATGGCAATAATTAAAAAAACAAAAACAAAATCTAAAAAACTGAAGCAGAGACAAGGCCGAGAGGGGTCTCCATGGGTCCAAAGTGAGATGTTCCTTTCCCCTGCTTGAGCCCATTCTTCGTCTGTCCCCCTAGAACTTAGATATCCCTCAGCACACTTCCTATAGCTCCCACTGGGCCACGTGTACCCTGGGGTATACAAAGCCACAGGATAAATAGAATGCATTTCCCTAAACTATCAGTTTTATCTGGTGACAGATAATGAATTAAAATAAAATGAACCTATAAAATAAAACATCTGACCTCAATCATATCTGGCAGTTGTAGCAGATGCTTAAGGCTACACTCAGACCCCTGTGTCAAGCATTTCCTCTTGTCATTAGACGAGCTCTAATGGAAACGCTAGGGAGCATTCTTCAATTAGTCGTGACCCACTGACAAGTGACTGTACAGAAGCAATTTAAGCTCGGCTTGGAACAGGATCAGACACCTTCCTAATAAGACAGCCAAATGTATTGTCATGTGAAAAACAAGAAAGCTGCCAAAAAAAAAAAAAGTGATGAATAATCCCATTTGGGGGGATTTTCATAGATTTATGGGAAAAAAATATCTTTAAAGAAACACAATCAACTGGTGATGGTGGTGATGATCTCTACGAAGTGGAATTTCTGTGTTGTTTGCAACTATTCCAAATTTTTTAACTAAAATAATGATAGTAGTAATAATAGCACTAATAAAGACTGAGAGAATATATCAGAAAGATAAAAAGAAAGAGATATCAATCCTTCCAAACCCATGGGGCTGCCTCAAGAGCAGCAAAGAGAACATCCCAGTGGTCCAGAAGACACTCTGAATTCCTTAACAGAAGCACTAAGAAAAGTGACCCCTGAATGCACCCACTAGGTGGACCTGGTACAGTTTATCTCTATTCATTCACTTTCGGGAATCTCCCCATGAGAAAATCCCCCACTGAGTAAAATCAAGGCAGTGTTTCTAATCTCTCTTAGGATCTGGTGATGCTGATCTCCATGGTTTCCTGAAACTCAAACACTCAATACTCAAAGCAGCCCAGGCTGGGCAATAAGGTACTGAGAGGCAGGTAGGGGACTTTATTCCCAGAGGTTTCCACAGTGGCTGGCCCAGCCTTGAACAATGAAGAAAGCTGAATCTTACTTACCCTGAATACCACTGCTATTACACCAGCCGTTCCTACAAACAAGGGTCCCTTCCAGTGGATAAAAGCAGGAAGATGGACTCAGTGTATTTCATCACTCAGCTACTGAGCACCCACTACTTGTAAAATACTTTCAAGATGAAAAACAAACAAACAAAAACCAGCCCTGCCTCCAAGGAACTCAGAATTCAAAGGCACAGCCAAACAAGGTAATCCAGAACACGTAGTATCACCAACACAAGGTCCTGAGAGACGGGCTAGATTGGTGAGTAAGCGTGGTGGAACTCCACTTCCTGTTCTCTAATATTGGTTCTAATACCCACTAGCCATGAAACCTTTAGAAAGCCACTCAGTCTTCAGCTTCAGTTATCTTAGTTGTAAAACAGAGCTAACAATACTGCAGCACCACTCTCAGGATTGTGGTAAGGATTAAATTAGCTAATAGATGTTAAGGGCTTAGAACAGTTTCTGGTACATATTAAGTACTCTGTAAGTGTTCTTTCTTACCATGGGAACAATCATCTTAACTGGAGGTAGGATGGTTCTTAGAGATGACATTTAAGCTAGATACAGAAGGACAGAAAAGACTTTTCAGGTCAGTGAGGTTTGGAGAATCCATTGTTATAATAACAAACTACCAGGCAAGGTGCTCATTCCAGGATGGCCAAAGGCAGAGAAGCTGGCCCGTTCCAAAAATGGCAAAGTAGACAATATAGTAGAAA